ATAATAATAATAATAATAATAATAATAATAATAATAATAATAATAATAATAATAATAATAATAATAATAATAATAAGCAACAATCTCCTAAATTCGAAAACCCGATATTTCGTCATTAAAGCAGAAGAAGCCATAGCTCCGTTCGAAATCCCAAGAGTTAACGATCGATTGTTTACTACTCAGAGCTTGTGAGTTTGTTTGGTAAGCAGCATAAACAATAGAATTAAGGATGATGGCAAATTCTATAAACTTGCTTCATTTGCATTTACAACAAAAAATCGTCAAACACACAAAAGCTGTATATTTGAAAGTCATCTGAATGGGAATACAGTTGGACATTGAGCAACATCCAGTTGTCACAATTGTATTTTGGTACTTGGTTTGCTGAGAATCAAAAGGCAGCAACTGAAGCTTGTTATTGTGTAAAACTTTTAATTTCATTGTCATTTCAGTACAAATTAAGTTGGTGAAATCACCAGAATGGGGTCAAAAATCATACTGAGCAAAACTCTCTATCGCATGCTATATAGTAAGACGCTGCTAAAGTAAAACGCTTGCTTTATTGTTGTGCTTAATTCACAATACTAAAATCCCACGCTAAAATTTTACACAAAACAATTAACCGCATTTGACAACGTGGGCGTTGTTGTCGCAAAAGTCGCATTTATTTCCCACGTTTACATATTCACGACACTCAAGAAAGAAAGCAGCTGAATTAATTCGAAGAAAATTTAAATTTAATGTGCATGCTAGTATAATATAAACTTAATTTTATAATATAGTTTGAGCATATGCCACAATTAGCGGGCGGTTTAATTACGTTGAAGCAGATGATGAACTAACAGTTAATTGACAGATAAAAGTCACATGCGCACTTACTTTATAAGAAATCTCAAAGGTATTTATAATTGGCTAGAGAAAGTAGTAAACAACCCTGTTGAATCGCGCATGCAAGTGCTAACCGACAGGGTACTAATTCGTATAATAAAAGTTTTAGCTAACGCGCACAAATAGCGTATATAACTAGTCCCTCAAATTTAGTTCATTCGAAAGTGCAAAATAATATTCAATTTACGTCTTACGGAATTAAGTTCGCTCTCCCAACAAATTAAATAGGTCAACTTTATTAATCACTCAAAATTGTAGATATTAATTAAGGGTGGAAGTTTATATGTTGGGCCGCCATCATTTGCTACAATTCTCTTTGTCGAGACATACTTTCAATTATTCTTGCAATGCAATTTCTCATTCCTTTACTTTTTCTGCAAAAAGGGGTGGTTTTTACTGTCTTGCCAATTCCGATCGATGGAATTTAAACGTAGCGGTAGTTGATTGACCACGTTTAGCTTCAAACACTTGTAAGTCAAAATTTCAAAATTACCATTGGTTTATTTTATATTTGCAATATTACGCATACACACACATATATATAGCTGTCAACAAAGTATAAAAATGTTGGGTTTCTTTCTGGATACCTGTTATTATTATATATAATTTAAGCAATTAATAAGATTAGAGCTTATAAGAAATAACAAAGATTCGTGTGCGATTCCTTCATAACCGCTTTATGCACAAGCTGTAGGGGCGGAGATCTTCCTGATTTTCGCTTCGCCAGTAATTAGTATTGCCAATTTTAATTAAGTTGTTAGGATTAACCCGATTCTGTATAATCACTTTGTACTTATAACCCTGCCACTCGAACGGTTTGGCGTACAATTCGGCTATTTGAACGCTCGGTGTGGTGTAAATCCCAGACCCAACGGCTTGGGACACAGCAGTTTCACGCATAAAACCTTCTTCGGCAATTGTCTTGCCGTTATGATATCCAGTGCCGTGATATGACACGGGCCATTCTCCGGGTGCGTTAACACAACCAAGCCAGATATTAGAGCCCCATCTGTCGAGGACTTTAAGCGCGTACCGCCTCCATCCGCAAGGTCTATAATACGGACAACTTCCTCTCGAGTAGTTTACCATATCAACGATACCCGTAAAGTCATAATCCCAAGGCGGGTCAAAAAATTCATCACTTAGAAATACCGTTCGGTCTCCACCACGGAGGCGAAGCACCATGTGCACGGTGCTTTCCTGTTTTATATTATAATCTGCTAATGTCAGATTATTTTCAAGTTGCATGCCTGCAAAAATCAACCGCTGCCATTCTGGTGGGATGCCCTCTTTGTCTTGGATTCTTTCTTTAAGTTTTGCTATTGTTTCCATACCTTCGAAATCAGTTATTATTGTTTTACCAGTAAGCGTTTTCACGTATAACATCCCATCACATTGCTCTGTGGAAGACTGTGTTGCGATAGCACCATCACTGATCAGAGGTGTTTTACTGGATGATTTTAAGTCAAGATTGTCGATAGCAAGCCGTCGCTTGATATTGTGACCAACGAGTGATGTTGTATGAAATGCTTGTAGATCAAGCTTTTCAATACGTCTATCTGTCTTGAGGCAGTACTCATCGTAGGTAATTACCGGCCTTTGAATTAGTCCCTCAACGGCTGCTGCCGCGAGAGAAGCGCTGAGAGGAGACATGTTTTTGATGCTTTTTAGAAGAGGGGAGGTAGCAGTGCATTTTATCGTTATGATTATATTTTTCTGTTTACAAAAGTTATGTCACGGTGATCTATTCTACAATGGTTTTACAATGTGTTGACTTGATCGATTGTGCCGTTAATGTCCCCACCATCATGTCTATTGTAACCATATTAATGTTTGGTATTACGAAGACCCATATATAGTTATTCCAGAGCATCTGCGAGAATTGGGTCTCATAGAATAAACCCAAAACTTTAACTACATTTGTGCAATTTATTTTTTTTAAACCAGAGTGAAAAATCACATAACTGGGTCTCACACTTTCACAGAAAAATTTATTACATTTTTTTACATATATATATTTGCGATCATCCTGAAGTAGCATAGCACAATACATATTGATAAAAAAAAACGCTTAGTAATTAAAACCAAACAGAATCGACCAGCATAAAATTTATCAAAACAGAAGCTACAATATCGTGTGAAGCGGTCCTAATAAATGTCGAATGCTTTTGTGATTGCAAATTGAACAAAGAAGAAGTCCAATGGAATAGGATTGGGAAGATTTTGAGGCATTTGGACAGTAGACTTTAAATCATGGTAAAGACATCTTAATGATACGTTAATGACGCATTGACCTTGCACGATATTTAATTGAGCTCCTGTGCCATCCCGTGTACCGAATTCAAACTAATAATCATTATACATACATTAGAGATTTTTAATATGTTAACAGAAAAGCGAATCACTATAGTCTAACATTACCGTAGTTACAAGAGGAACTGTATTTCTCGTTCCTATACCTGCTGAGACACAGTAATGCCAAGCCTACAATGAATTAAAATCTTAGAATGTTATACAAATAATATGATTGCTATGCTGTATAAATATAACTTACCCTCATACGGACCGGTACTTGGCCTTGTGGAACCGGATCGATCTTTACAATAATACAATCATGGGCGCGACCAGGACTTAACCAGTAGCGCAACGTTTCTTCGACGTGATCTAGTGTTTCAGTGTAGGCTACTTCCACGACCAAATTTGGCCAAGGTTCTTCCTAAATAAAAAAGGTATATGAAATTACTAGCTTCAAAAGTTCAAAGCCAACAAAAAGATAGAAATTACGTTTCTGTCGCTCCCATTTGGCGCAGTTACAGCAGGCTTTTTTGGGCGAAATGATGCATCGGCTTCTTTTCCACGGTTTCTGTCACGTGTTCCTTTAAGAAATAAAAATTAATACGATGCCGATATGTTATAACAACATTAATACTTACTGGTAGAACCAAAAGTAAGAATTTCGGCATTAGTTCCATCAGCATTACCGCATTGTCTATTTATTTGCTTAACAATTGCACCGATGCAAACTTCGTGTGGCTTAGAAAGAAACTCGTAGATTAAGACTTCTCCGTTTGACCACTCCCAACATCTGTGAATATTAAACTCTTCTGTACGTCTTTCATATTCTTCAATGTCGATCCCCTTAGCAAGTACATATGGCAGACTTAATACAATAATTTATATCAGCAACTGGCTCAAAAAATACCAACACCAAAGCAGTAAACTTACGTTACTTCATTCCATCTCGCCTTTTCATTAAATTCTCCCTTTTCCCACCACAAGTTTCGATAATAGTTGCAGGCTGGCATTCTTTCTGGAACCGCATCAATACTATCCCTAAGAATATATCCGAAAGGTAAGCAAAAATAAGGAGTAAAAATTGCACAAATTTACTTACTCAGTGGCTACAGAGCTAGCACTTGTACTTGACCCTTTTTTTGAACTAAAGCTACTAAAGCTACTGAAACTGGTATTTGCATTACCGGTATAAAGTGACATTTTGATGTTTTTGGAAAGATGGAAGGATAAACATTACAGTAAGCTGATTTAAATTTTGCGTCACAATTATTATTCGCTCGTGACCAAACCAATATGATGTAATGATGACTCAATTATTAAACGATACACAGATGATGTAAACTCGATCTATTATATACATATATATACTAGGGATTTTCGTGTTCCGTAAAATCAATGTACAAAAAATATACAAGTTATCAAATCAAATAAATTAAATCGAATAAGTTATATGTTGTTATTATTATATTTATAACAAATTGTTTTACAGATGTGAAGTATCTATGCACTATTAATTTGACGCATTTCTTCTCGAATACTCCATAAGAGTTTGTAATGCATAGCTAATTCAGAAGCACAAAACACCAGATGGACGATAATACCATTCAATAAATTTTCTTTGTATAGTAATACACGTTCTGATCTTTTTTGCAACTTCTCTAGCACGATTAACCTTCTTAATAGCATTGGACATCCATAACCCATATCGGTGTAATGCAAATTCATTATCATAATCATATCCTGAAATAGATTTTTGTTCGATTTTCAGTAAATATTCATCATAAGTTATATCACAAAAGGTATTTCCTGTACAATGGATAGCCCAATGCCTCTCCATCACGACGGGTTGTGTAGGAAAAGACGTTAATGAGCGTGAAGACAAGAGACTTCAAAGATCATGCGTATGGGGTGAACGCAAATTCGTGCGAACTGTGGAATGCTTGCTTCAAGGTACACATGGCAAAGCGCCTGCAAACATTATCGATGAGGCGATTGATGAAGCATTAATGTTAACTGCTAGGTGACTGTTATTCTTCGATTTTTTTTGTTTGTTTAACTAATTTTAGGACACCAAAATATAGGATCGCGCAGAATTTTTCAAAATCCACGTGGTAGTGGAACCGTTTCTATATCACCAATCTCCATAATCCATCAATAACTAATAAAGGAACGCAAAACTCCATAATTCATCAATGCTCCGTCATAAACTCTTGACGACAAACGCGATTTGTGGCCGCTTCATTTCGAAAAAAAAAGGCATAATAATAAGTGGCCCGTTCCTCACAGAATAACGTCCGATTGCAAAATCACCTATATTCGCAAAACTAATGAATGGAAATTTACGAGACGCAGAAATAACTCCGCGAAACCCAAGCGGATAGTTCTATTACTGCAGTTTCCATCGACCCTGGCCTTCACATGGTACTCTCCTACTAAAGGTGTAGGTAAAATTGGCCAATACGACATTGGACGAATTATTCGTCTATGCAAGCATATTAATATGGATAATTTTCTTTCTATAAAGGACAAGCTGGCTGCCTCTGGTTCAAAACGTAAGAAGAAACAGGCCTTGCGACTTGATAAGGCAATCTGTCAGATGCGACGAAAAATCAAATACCTGCAAAGCAAAGTTCATAAAAAGAGTGTTGCATTTTTTACTCGCGAATTTGATGCTATTATAATTCCTCCTTTTGAGGTGTCGAATATGGTAAATCGAAAAACAAGAAGGATAGCACAAAACCCGTTCGCAAAATGCTCTGTTGGGGCCACTATCAATTTCGCCAACGCCTGGTGGCTAAAGCAGAAGAATTATTAGCCTATATTTCAAAAACTTGCAGCTGGTGAGCGTTCAAAAAATAGGAGGGTCCGAGATGTACAAGTGTCGAAATTGTGGAACTGTAATGGATCGAGATGAAAATGGCGTTCGGGGAATCTTTCCGGAGATCATGCAGGAAATAGTAGTAATGCCTACTATTGATATGTTACAATCCATCCGTGTCCATCTCAGGTGAGGACATATGACTTGCTTTATCTGATCTAGACCTTGTCGTTCCTGGGAATCAATTTGGAAAAGGTTTTCTTCGGAGCTTAAATTCCGTAATAATTCAACCCGTCCGTTCGGAAATGTCAATCCCATTTTTTTATTTTATAAGAGATAAGAATTGTGCTACTGGAAGAATCAGCCCGTGAAACACAACAGTATGATAGAAAGACGCCCAATGTGGTCCATAGCAAATAAAAAAGAGGTCGCGTTTAGCGATCTCATCCTCAGATGAGCGATAGTAGGATTTGAGTGACATACTGATAAGAGACTGTGCTTATAGTCACATATGATTCTGTCTCAGCATCGATCAAGTGTAAATTCAATTTCGCTATATAAACACGATCTTGACTTCACCAAGAAAATAACCCATTACTACTCTCAAGAAGATTACAGAAATAAATACTTCTTGATAGAAAAATAATCAAAAAAAGAAGTTTTTCCAAGACCAAGGAAATAGTGCTGAAACTTATTTACAATCACATACATAGTTATCACCATTATACTCTCGTCGACCCATTCTTCATCTCTATCGTTGCGAACAAGCTTTCACTCACGATGTCAATTATATGCGCCTGTCAGTTGGTGCCTAACCATCCTTGTGATCACTGTCCAGAGCACACCAAACGATGCCTGTGCGAAGACTGCGAACGTCAATCAAAAGTTTTCGAAAACGAAGCGCACCAACAAACGGTACTCAAGACTCAAGTCGACGTATTTCAACAACACTCCCAATATTGCGAATGTGATGGATCTGGTGTTGGATGCCAATGTGGCAAGACGTGCCACTGTTGATTATCTATGAATTAAATGTCAGTCGTCTGAGACACTCTTTTGTATTAATATATATATCTTTATAACATTCAGTATAATTCAATTATTGTTGGGATACTAGTGCCTTTGGAATTGATGGAATAAATGGTATAAAAAAATTACAAAAAATTTGTGTTGACAAGATAAAACAGCGTTAACACCTAAATATAGGAAATATAAAGTACAAATACAGCGTATGGCTTCAATAAAACATTTTAACTGGAATACTATAAACATTTTGACAATATCACTAATAATACTTTTGTGCCTTTTTAAATTGATTTTAGCGTTACGTTACAGATTCTCTCTACAAAGAGGTTGATTCCGGTTGCAGTAAACATTGCTGAAAACCCGATAAATTTTCGTTTGACAACTACTTACGTACGCCGTCAATCGATCGAAACTTTGAATACCTGATCGCTCGGACGGGACTAATCAATCGTCGCGTTTTGATTGGACGTGAGTTTAATTTTGAAAACGTGGAAAATCATAAGATGTCAGTTCAAAAACCAATCAATGAATTTATGTTTAAAGAAATGAGAAAGCTATTCCGCTGAAAAAGATACAGTTGTGTAGAAAACTCTAGTAATAATCTTTATTTTTATAGCAGAGGAAAAACGTTGGTCAGCTTTCAGATAATAATTTATACGCATGGTTTCATGAATATAATACTTAATTAAGCAAAGCACGTGCTTTTGAGTATTTTATTATCAAGTACAAAAAGACATACAGAGGAGTGTAATATTAACGAAATATGTTATCAAAAATAGCTACAACCTGTATGATTTAACTCCGTATCAAGCCCACAGACACACATTACTCATTTAGCCAAAGTGATGCATCGATACATCAAATTATTCCTCTTCCTATTGTTGAGCGTAGTCTCAAAAAACTTAAAGTTGATGCACAAGCGAGGAAACGGACGCTAAAAGCAGAGTAAAACCAAACAATGTCTCGCGTTATTGTGCAGAATGTACGCCATAAAAATGTTGTTTCGACCCGTCAACTTGCTGCAAAAAAGGCATATGCGAATACATCAGTTCACTTTTACAATTCGGGCACAGGCGCATTGAATGACAAGTAGGACCGAACAATGGCCGGACGGTTTTCGATGAGATTCCCAGTTATGGAAGGGAGCTGTAAAAGCCCAGGTTTAAAGTTTACAACGTCCGCTGTCCGCATTCGTAATTCGCAGAGTTACACAACATTTGACACGCGATAAATTTGGTAGTCATTAGTATACCACACCATTCTGTGGTTATAGTCAATAATTCCGAATTTCCCCTCCCCCGACACTTTATACACTAGTCCAAATTAGTCTATTTGTGTTAGTTAATATTAAGTGTCGTCTCTAATCAATATCCGTGGAAAACCCGGTAACCAGAAATTGGTCGTGGGAATTTAACGCCCGTGCAGTAAAAATACCCAGAGGTTACTGCGTAAATCATTATGGTATCTCTTTTTTGAAAACAAATCCGACAGCCTGGTCGTTCGTTTGAGAGTTGGGGGATTTATTATAAATTAATTACGTAATTAACTATAAATATTAAATTTCTAATTATTTATGCAGAGCATTTATAAATAAACTGCGAGATGTTCTATGCCGCATATCAATGGAGATTTATTTCATGTCGATGCAGGCTTGGCCTGATAGGCATTACCATTGATAATATTGGTACTAAACTTATACTTCTCTGAAAGTCTTTGTTTCTTCTCCTTTTTCTTCTCTTCTTTCTCGATCTTTTTATCTTTCTTACTTGGCCCGCCCTCTTTCCCTCCTTTTACCTCAGGTACAGGATCTAACTGCGACGACCTTTTTTTATCATCGTCTTCCTTTTTATCTTTGTCCCCATTTCCGTCTCCGCCCACATCTCCGTCCTTGTCTTTATCTTTGTCCTTGTCTTTATCCTTGTGCCGGTCTTTATAGGATATAGATTTAGATCGTATGGTTAGCCATGATGTAGTCCTATCTGTATGATTTTCAGAGTCATTGTCTTTTGAGTTCTCGTGGTCACCATGTGATTTACGACGATCAGGCGTGTTGTGATCTTTCCGTCGACGAGTAGACAGTAATGCATTACTCCACTCTGCAAATGTCGATGAATTCTCTCTAACAGGCGGCTGATGTCTTTCTTCATGAGATTGTGCTGGGGTAGATGGTTCATTCGTAGAAGCGAACGTTACCGTAGATGTGGATATTACTGACGATGCAGATGAAACGAGGGTTGTGCCATTCGTACTAATAGTTTCCACAGTGCCGTTCGTCATTGCTGGTGACGGGGGCGGCTCTCGAGCATTTGATTGCTCTGACAGTTCAAATTCGGAAGATAGAGCTTGTGCATCAGGTGTCTGTAAGCCAAGAGATGCATAATCCAAATCTACGGCTTGATAAAAGAGCATGTAACCTGATCCCTTGACTGTCGAGTATTTTTGTATTTCTTCTTCATCTATAATCTGAATGGAAAAGTCACGTCAGCGGATAGTCTGCAAATAATGATCAGGTGCTCGTATAGTTACCTCTACTGCGTCATCATCGAATAGTCGCCATTGCCCCATGTTCTTTATTAATGCTACATAATGTCCATGCTGTAGGCCACTGAAAACACAAAACAAAAACAATTTAATCATGCAAACAATTGAAATCAAGCCAAATAACTCGCTCCATGGCTGACCTTCCGATATGCACACAAACGGCATATAATTCATATAGTCGATCAGGGTTTTCTGTATCGTCGCACTGCATATTATAAATGCCTCAGATTAGTCAAACGGACATGACGAATGGAAATTGAATCGAAATAACAAGAATTTGTTAAATACCGTATTAAACAAGCGGAGTTCAAACGGGAATACAACTCTGTATGACAATTTTATAACTTTCTTTAGTTTATCTTGAAATTCTTGAACCTTGAAACGCTTAAGATGGAGAGCCAAAACATTGGGCAGCTTCTTAATTTTCATTCTACAAGAGCATTATATTTCGCGTAAGTAATCACATCACCCAGAACTCGATTTACAAATTATCTCAAATGATAAAAACATTCGATTATTTTTGCTTAAATATATAAGCTCAAAAATAATTTCGACCATTTTGAGATTTAAAAGTCCACATGCATATCCTAAACCCAACCAATTTCATCCAAACGCGAATCGTTCACACATTGTCTCAAATCATATTCAAAGTCTAACCTTTTCTCTGCTTCCTGTAAGCCACAACATGCATCACAAAAGAATTTATCTCTGTGGCGAAGCATCTCACTTGCAGAGAATTTACGTAAACACGATGTCACTGACGAGTTCTGTTCTATGTTAAGCGGTAGTTCGAAAAATGTTTCGTCTTTACTTGTAACCTGTTCAACGCAAATATGAAGGCTTGATCGTAAATATAGTAATAAAGAATAGAATATAGAAAATGGAAATAGTAGTAGAATAAAACACTAATAACAATGATAGTATATGAGATAGAGAGCGCCAAATCAAACATTTATCAAAACTCTTACTTACCGTCTCACATGTTAGACATTTTATCTCGTTTGTCAATACACCTTCAAATATCTTATGCACCCATGTATTCGTTCCACCTGTCGAACTTCCACCCGTTGATGAGCCGTCAGCTGCAGAAATGCAACAAATTAAATCAAGTTAACGTATAATTCATTCTCTAACCGATATCATCCCAATCACGCATACCCTTTGATCTCGCGCAGCAGCGACACTTTTCGTCCATGCTTACTTGTATCTGCTTGTTCCATTGCTTCCATCTTTTTCTGTTGCTCTATTATAGCATTCAGAATCCAATTAAAAAATTCATGTGCATCTTGATGCATTGTCGACTGAAATTGAACTATGATTGAGGTGCGTAAGTTAGGAATAAAAAAAAAAGTACGAATTGGAAGAAAACATGAGAAATGATCCTTAACAAAATTGACCAGCTTTTTTATATCAAAAGGAGTATCTTGACAACTGCGATAAATACTACTAACATACCATGCGAACTTTTCAGTTTTGCGACAAATTGGTGAGGTGCAACCACACCGCTTCGTTTTTTCTGCCCGTTTATTTTGATAAATAAATCTTTTAAAGCGCCAAACAGTGAGTCTTCCATTCCCGCGCTGGCACTCGAAGATGCTTCCCCGTTCACTATGTAGAATACCCAATGGTTATATACGATCAAGCGTTGCACATTATGTAAGCATATATTAACAAGTAAACACACCTTTGACTTCAGTCCCATTTGTCGCGACAGAAGCTCCGTTTGCCATTGTTAATAAAGTTGGCGATGGTTGTGGACTTGTTGGATAGTTTATTACACATTCTCGAAATGGTTTACAGAAATAAAGTATCTGCAAAATAGAATTACAATAGCTAAAAAATTCACAAGTCATTATAAGAACGATCTTACAAACCAAAGATTTATTGGCGAGGCACGTAAACTTACCATGTATTTCCAAACTGACATATAAATCGACAAAGAAAGATTGTTAGTTGAGGAAAAGGGTAAACTGAGCAAGTAGATTGCATAATCAAACAAACCAGAACCTTATACGACCTCAGCTCAACACCTGCCAGTACCAATCTAGACTACGCCTTCAGCTATCTTTTGCCTTGGTGTTTATACTTACATTTTCCAGACCAAAATACTTTTCAGAATTGCTATTCCATTGCTCGTCGGTAGGAGCTTTAGCTGAGGGACTCTGCTTGAATTAATTTTGAGGTGTTAATACATCTTAAACCTCTTTTCCGTCTCAAGTCTTTCACTTTATGACAAGGAAGTACCAGAAATATTTTTGTCCACATTGTTGTCATATTTGCGATCTTGATCCCTCTGGTTTCTTAACACGAGACTTGCTCTTGTTGTGTAGAGCACCGTGAGGTTGGTGTTCGTAAGCTACCTTGCTTATTATTAGAATTTTATAATAGGAAACCTGCCCACTAATAATTATTCTGAATGTAGGATAAACTCGAGTATTCTATTATGTAATATCAAAAGTCCCTTTTTGTTGATATGGAAGAGAATAGACAGAATGAAAAAGGCCTGAACGTAAATAAGCAACTCGACACATTTCTGTATTTTCGTTTTGTCCCCACAAATTCTGATTGAGCCAATGAAGTCGCTAGAATGAGAAGTGATTTTTGATGATTGACATGCTTTGGAGTACTGTACCTTATTGCCCCGATCGCAAAAAAAATATATAGGGTTGGTTTCCCAGCTTCAGGGTCTCCAATATGAATATGTTAAAATAATAATATATCGATAGGAACGGTGTCCGTCAATGCCAAGTCGCTATTAACAGGAAAAAGGTCATGAGAATGTCAACATTGTTTGATAAAAATACAAAGTTCAGTTACATTTTGTAGCGGGTCCGTAAATGGTTGAACCCATGACATGCACGCATTCTAGCAAACTTGGATGCATGGCTACAGTATTGTATATCCCTGGTGGCTATTCGAATTAGATGACGCAAAATTAAAATTGAATGCGTTACCGTGCGGGTGGCATAATCCCTAGAAATTAACAACATCAACATGCAAGATGCAATCACGATTAGATGATCTGTTTTAGAGAGGCTGTGTAATATGTGTAATATGTGCAATATGGGGGAAGGTTTATTACCCCAATATAAATAGTATCAGATGATATTGTCCAATAATTGTTTGACGGAATATCTCTGTACTTTTCCTGGCTAAAGCTGCGCCTGAATTTATTATGGGAAAACTCGGGGCTACACTAATTTCTTGTGAACAAAGAAAGAGGTTAGAGCTTTTCCTTTTCTGATCGTATGCAAGTCGACAAATTTGGCTAGTGACGTTTGCGATTAAAGTTGTAACTTAATGGGATGTCATTGTGTGTCGATCTACTTTGCAGTTTAGCAACAGTCCATCGTTATGAGTCTGCATCTTGAAACATACCAATTGATCAATTTCGAGGTATTGAAAATTCTAGTCAGTGCTTTTATTTTCAAGGTAGCATCCAACAGTAAGCGACTTCTCTGTAAAGCAAACGATTAGGTGCAGATCAATATTTGTTAGTCACTCATTCTTATGCATGTTACGGGTTGTCATCACCTTTTGAACGAATAACAGTAGAGCTGCGTACGATACAAGAAATGATGGTATTGAAGAATGGATTATTATTGTAATCCCATAGTCATTTATTACTTGACTGAGTGTTATCCGAACCCCAATTACCCTTTTTATATCGGTGGTCAGTTAGGTGAACTTGAACCGGTTTGGAGTAAAGCAAACCTAATCAAGCTGGATTGCATGTGAATCATGAAATGTACTCGATGAGAAAAGTTAATATTGAAACGTCGCCATGTTAATATCCTAACGATTTGAAAAAACAACCCCCAAAAAAACTACACACACACACGAAAGGCTGACCGTGGATTGGGAGGAGGAGTTTCAAATAACCCTTAAGCTTCACTAGCATTTATCCAAACTCAAAAAAGGAGCCGACTGATAAAATTAAGGATGGTTTTTTCTTTCTGAAAACCAATTAATAGTCGCGATCCATAGGGAGAATGGGCAAACTTCGACGCTAGACTGCGGCTTTTTATTGAATGCTAAGTCAATTTCCTTTTTGGAATTTTAAATACGAGAACTATTATAAAATTCCCATTTGATGAAAAAGAGTATTTATTAATGAGGGTAACGGATCGCGCGACTTTCTAATAGAATTAAAGACTATGCGTACGTCGAATATGCGACGTCGGTGCAGCAATTTTTCTTCGTATTATTATTATCAGGGTTTCGGATCGGCGGGGTTGCTCTATTACTATAGGCCGAAGGATGGTGTCTGAAGGTTCACTGTATATATCTATTGAAATACGCCTAAATGAACATTCAAGTTTCTTCGTTTTGATAAAGTAATTGATAGAACGTAAATCGTCTCATTGTTCGAGGAATGGTCTCTGAAATCGCTATACTAATACCGAACTCTAATCCAACGTTTCGGTATCCCTGATGTAATCAATTTTTATTGTTTTGCATGTAGACTAAAAATGCGTTCTGTTGAAGCCAAAGAATGGATATTAAAAGACTTTTGCTCATCGTTAATGTGTTTAGGAAAGGAAGCAAACAGTAAGTGTCTTGGACAGATATTAAACGCTTTCTTATTAATTGCCCCAATTTAAGACGAACCTATCATATCATCTAATAAGATTTAGATTGTGTTGTTAAAGACAAAGTCTAGAAAATAAATTGGCTTCACGAGGCCTTCATAAAGGAAACTGTTGCAACAGAAAAAATGTTACAATCTATGTTCAAATATACTCATGCTAATTATGGAAAACAAGATATTACATAATATGTATCGACTATGTGTAAGTTTTATGTATGCAGTCATCAATTCAACACGTAATTAATTTTCCGTCGGTTATTTTTTCAATCGGCATTAGAAACCACTAATATTACTGATCGTTATGGTTGTGTTGATATGCAGCGTATATTTTGTTTCTCATGAACGTCAAGGTGTCGTTTATTTGTACCACTGCAATTTATCAACGTTTCTCTTGGCAGCATCGGACTGTTGGTGGCCAGTTCATAAATTCTTGAATGCCTTGGCTCACATATTATACGTTAGACCTGGCGTTTGCAACATAACAACATAACATATTTTTGAACATGTGACAAGTGACTATTAATAATTTATTAGGTAATACAAATAGCGTTATATCAGGTAGTGCTAATTATGACACATGCTAATTCGTTACCGAAGTATGTACAACTTTAGATTCATAAAAAATTCTAGTTAGTTTTGTTTTAGATCCAATCCGTCATCACACCACTATTCGAATCACGGAGTATCTGTTATATATGGCGATAATCTGAATCCAGCTCTAGTAGTAGGAGGCAAAATTCAACGGAAAGCATCATGCTTCGGCGATGAGACTTTCCTTTGAAGAAGTATATATCTTATCTAAATATGTCTTTCCGAATCTCATGATATCTAACATCGCAGAAATCTCATGTTACTCACTGGTACTGGTGGGATTTCTCGTTAGGTATTTGAACCCACCAATGGTCATCACATGGGATTGACAATTTAACCGAACTCTTGCAAAAGGCTACAGTGGTATTATTGGCGATCATTACGAGATCCTAATAAGCAGCCTTTAATGTTGCAATTGTTCTATATTTAGAAGTCCTTTTGGTCGACTGCAAAACTTCAAGCACAACCAATGTGAATTTTTTATACCAAGATTTCATAACTTTTATTGCGATAGTATAACTTGTTCATTAACATCCCGCACGGTTAAACATTACATTGTATATCGGAAAATATCGCACAACCTTTATAACATTAATACTAAATTTGTTAATGAGCAACAAATGTCATTTTTGGTAGAGCAACCAATAGATAGTGCGTTGTGGACAAAACTTGCGAATCAAAGTAACGGATATCATCACCAATAGTAATAGCGAATTTTATCTGAAAACGAACTAGCCACATTTCATTGTCCGCACCGGGTTATTAAAAACTCAAAGCTCTGTGCTCGCATACTGTGCAAATTCCCTACAAAGTTTGTACGACTTGTTGCAACTACAATCATTTCTTAGAAATCCCTTCAATTCTACCTCGGATGCTTTCCCCCCCTACATGCTGGGATATTATTCAGCGAGCCTACAACGCTGGTTCGTCTACTTTATAAGCTTGACAGTATTAAATGTCACTGTTAATTATATAGAACCAAAATCATTGAACAATATTGCCATGCCTTCAAGGGACAATTAAGGGAAGAATACGCATGAGACTTGTTACTTATCAAAGTAATGGCTCATGCAAAAATATTATAAATCACAGTTGACTCAGCAGATTCGGCAACTGTAATTCTGCACAGAGAGATTCTTGGAAGGATCTGCTGCTGATCGGCGTGACAAATTCTGTCGCCAACAATATACCACAGCTGTCATGGTTCGTATCATCGAGCGCTAAACCCTTTTCCTACGCTATCATATACATAGGAGCGACGTATATTCCAAGAAACAACATTCTTTTATCAAGGAACATACCAATTTTCTTTCTGCCTCGCTCCCGACCCCTCCACGAGTATGCCAGAACGAAATTGTATGGCCATTACTAGTATTCTTAATTGTGACGATTATCATTCTCCCACCACATCTACGGCCACTCCTCCCGCTACCCCTCCCACTACTTTCTCTAGCGACAGGCCATACGCATGCAGCTGGGCAAAGTGTGGGAAAGCATTCTCACGACGAAGTGATTTGGAAAGACACTTTCGTACACACACGGGAGAGCGGCCGTATAGTTGTAGTTGGCCTGATTGCGGAAAACGGTTTATTCAACGCTCGGCTCTTACAATACATATTCGAACACACACCGGAGAACGTCCCCACCTGTGCGAACATTTTGGTTGCAATAAGAGCTTTGGTGATGTCTCGGCACTAGGTCGTCATAGAAGGATTCACACTGGGAGAAAACCTTACGTGTGTTCTCATGCTGGATGCAGTAAGAAGTTCACTCGCCGTACCACCCTAATCCGTCATGCTTGTTCACATGGTACACATTGGCACACAAGCTCACCAGTGCCAGGAGGGCCTTCTGTTGCGCCTGTATACTACACCGCTTCTCCAAGTCTATCGACCACACCGGGTTGTTTTCAACGTATCAGCTACTTCACGTCAGGCCAGCCGATAGCTTATCGCGAGCATAGTCGCTTGTTCCAGGATTATCTGCGTTTGCGCTACATGCCAGACTATAACATATGAAGTAGAAATATATGGGCATGGGGCCGGGGGGGTGTGGGGTAATCATCAAGTGTTGAGACTTGATTAATAGTGGAAAAATAAGATTTAATGGACGGCACAAGTTTAGCATAGTTATTATGGCTGTAATATGCCAAAAATATGATTCGTCACTGTAAAGCTTTTTGTTTTGTTTTGTTTTGCATGGATTTTACTTGTAAAATTTGGCTGGGATTAATACCAGAATGTTTCTTGGGACAAAACCCAACGCATTTAGTAAAAATGCTTACGAGCCCATCTTTTGGTACACAATTCAAACAGCGAACGCGTTCAGCTATTTATATAGCTAAAAAAGTATGTTTCCTAAGCTGGGCAGTAAGCAATATCACGTATTTGATACGTCTGTGGGAGATTGGGCGATTGCAAATAAAAAAAATGAAGAAATCTCTTTTATGGACAATATTTCTATTAACAATACTGTTACCATGTTTATTATAACGGCGGAAAAAATTTCTAGTATCGGTTTATGCACACACTAATACGTGCTAATATAAAACGCATTTCAAATGAACGTAAAAGGCGTAAAAAATTTTTGCCGGTGTATAGCAAATATAGTCCCTGAAAAATGGCCAGTTTTACGAGTTATTAGTTGTCACTTACGAGTGCCGCTAAAGGTGCGAGCTACGAACAAAATTAGGTGTATGTAATAAAACTATTGATTGTTGTGCTGCGGCGGTTAGAGTAATGAACGCGTTTTATAGCTTATAAGCACAGGTTTATTGACAAAAATTTAACGGAGTATTATTAATTTTTTTTACGGTATTTTTCCATAATTGACTTGTGACTTTATTTCATCAATATTAATATACTAAATTAATTAACGTTTTATCAGAATAGAATTTCATTCTTGACAATAAACTACATCAATTTCCCACAATTTGTGTGCGTTTATGCTAACTGCCATAGATTTCTATGGAATTAAGGCTGGAGTATATATTAGTAGGGCGGTAATAGTCTCATGTTATGTATTTTATGTCGAATTTTGCAGAAAAAGGGGCAAAAAAACTGAAATGCTCAACAACTTAAAACAACAGTTTGCGTTTACTTAATATTTAACCATTAAAAAAAGACAAATTGTTAAAAGAGATTATGTTTCCAAAAGCCAGTATCAGCGAAACAAATATTTCATATTGCGTAATAGTAAGATAATGCTTATTATTAAAAAAATTTATTTTTTTTTGCTATTTCTTTCGTGTCACATTGTATTAGTATGTAATCAAGATTCAGAACCAATCACATCACAAGAAATTTGGGGTGCGAGGGGTCACGCGATGCGTATACAAACGTGTCTATTTAACGTAATCAATTCTCTTCAGAAATAATTGGATTGATAGTTGCTGGAAATATTTAAACATCTGTTTCTTTTCAGGTAATTCCTATGTTATTCAAATGTCTCAAGAGATGAAAAAAAATAGAAGATTGAGTATATTGACGAAACACGGCGATGTAATTGACTAGATAATCAGTTACAACTCTATTAGATTAGCAAATGCTTTTACTACGACTGCAAGGGAGTAAGGTAAAGGCAAGCTCGCATGGCTAAGCACTAAGATTCCTTGTAGACAATTGAAACATTGTCAAAAGCGCAAAAGCACGTGAACTGGTAATTCGAAGTAAAACATATGAAAATTTTTTTATTCAAAAATTTTTGCAGTCTGCATATACCATGGAAGGAGCAATGATTTAGATATTGTTATGGAGTTGAATTGTAAAATTCCACTCATGTTCGAAATTTGTTGATTGTGCTTTTCAAAAAAATAATGATCTTTTCTGAATTCGCATTATATCTTTCGGCGGCTTATATAGCGACCCCGCCAATCCGAAAACTGCTGCACGTCTTCGGTTAGCCGCGTTAGTGCATACATTTACATGTGTAGCGTGGCTATCATTTGTATCGATAAAGACTTTTGGTAGTGGGAAAACTCTGAGCAGTAGAAAATATATGCATAAGCAGTTGATTAACGAATTTACTCAATACGCCATAAGAAGGAAACAATACGAGAGGCTTTACAATTTAAATGAGGGGAAGGCATAATGCATCCAGGATGAATCCACTTCCGCTTTATTTCTCATTGATATCACAGGCGAAAATCGTATTCCATACAAATATACAATATCTAAGATGACAACACAACATAAAAACAATAAAAATGGGCAACTAAAATCATTTACTAGCCAAAACTAATGCTAATAAGGGACTACATAATCGGTTACAAAACTCCCAATGGATCTTCTGTATATGGTGTAGAAGTCATGCTTTTTGGTCGGGGACTAGTTAATGAATCACTTTCTGATCGTACTTTGGTAGCCTTCGAAGCTGTAGCTCCAAGTGGATCGACCCTACCCGATTCTTTTTCAGCAATAACGGGTGCAACGGGGATTGTCGGCGTCAGCGGACTACGCGTCTTTTTTTGTGCAGAAGATGGCGAACTCATATTACTGAAAGGATCTTCCTCAAGGATTGGATTGTCTAGGTTAGATGTGTTCAAACTCAACCGATCAGCAGGGAGACTACCTCGTTTTCGATTAAACAATGAGTTATCGTCCTCTTCAATCATCCAACTATATTTTGAACTAGAAGCAATAGTTGCTTTTGGTTTGATCGGTCTACCTTGGGGATCACTGTTTTCAATTTCGTTAAAAACGTCATCAATATTCATGCGTTGTTTAGGAATTGGCGGTATTGACCTAGTAAATGTTGTCGTGGTTGAACTAGATATATTCTTTGAATCTGAAACTGTTGGAGTACTCGTAGTATATGAGGATGTTGCTGAATAAACTGCAGAAGATTGCTGCGAGCTGACTGGTGAAGGCGGTGAGGGATTGCGAAGAGGCCTCTTTGATAGATTGTCTGTCAATGAAGTCGTTCGTTGAAAAGCTGGAGATGTTAATTTCTCCTGTTTCTGTTGTGCAACCTCTTTATTTACTGAATTCGCCTCGTCTTCCTCGCCAGCAATGCTTACAACACTGACCACACTGACCTGGTCATCTAACACTTCCCAATGATCATCGCTATGGTGTAACGCATCCAAAACATTCGGGTTAAATTCTCTTACGGCACCACTCAGAACATCTCGCACGTGTTTGAGTCCTGCTAGTGCATGCAGTATAGAAACTTCTCCCGGTGTCGATGTCGCAGATTCTTCATTATTACTGGGTCGAATATATTCAAAAGACGAACGGGGGGTTGATCCATCTGAACTTTTTTCAGTTTTTTCTGCATCTCCATTATTACTATCATTCATTTTTGCCCGAACGAATATTTCATGCTCAAGAATATCAACACTTTTTTGCATGATTATTGCCATCTGGCGGCTTTGTTCCCGTAATTTCGAAAGCTCATCGGACAGTTGGGAATCTGAACGCGTAGAATCTGCCGACGGTGATTGATGGTGAGTAGAATTGAATATCGAGTACTTTGTCGGAAAGTCCGTTGACGAGGTACGTCGTCGGTTCTCATTTTCCGAACGAGTGTGAGATTCTGGGCGACGAAGGACGTTTTTCTAGTGACCAGAGACGTATATGTTAGATCGTACGACTAAACAAACTTAAACTCCGTCTCATATAAGAAACTACCTTCACTTCTCCCACAGCTCCTACTGCTGTGAGAATAGCCTTGTTGATAGCCCGATTGTCGAACACATTCTTAGTTACGTGAACAAAACCCTCTGGCACGAATCCCTCTATGAGCGGCCCGGAAGAGACCGAACTACGGGCCGAACTATGTTCTGTCGGGATTACTGGAGATATATCCTTGCCTGCTCGGATTGCGTTCTGCCGGATTATATGATAGCCCCCTTCAGGAGACAGATGCTCGAGAAGATATTTGGCTTGGTCAACGAGAAAATCAATCCCCGGAGTTTGCGGATAACGCATCAGCATGCTCAAGCAACCTGCATAGTCGGAGGCCAACACTTCAACCAGAATATAATTAATTAGTAAATGCTTGGAAATTCGAGTGAAAAACAACCAGCTTAATGCGTACAGTCATCTCGAATCAGCATCATCATTGCCACACATATAAAGTCAACGATTTTCAAAGTCGGATCTTCCGCAAAAATGCCGTCCCACAATACTAGAACTTGATCCAACGGGAACTCGCGCCCGAATAATAATCTTATCCACCGTCTGTATTTCAACATCAAAAGAACTTGTTTTAATATTGGCGTCGAAGTAAGTAATTTTCAAATTTTACTTTCATCTAGACCCTACATTCCATAAAGCTGCGGTTCTATTTCTAACTTTGTCAAGTGATCGTAAAGCTCCTTATCAACCTTTTGCAAGTATTCTTCGTGAATTTTGTTACATTTCGTAACGACTGGCGTTAGCCTGGCCGCCTGTTGAATATCGATTGTGCAAAAATTTACATCATTACGCGAAAACTCCCCAGCATATTTCAACAATCATCCACTTTAAAAAACCCCCTCCATATGAGAAGTGGAATTACCTCGGCCTGTGCATCTTTGATTTGTTTGGCATAGACTAGATCTGATTCTGCAGCTCTCTGTACAGTGAGGTGAAAAAGAAAAGTTTAAGAATTATGCAGAGAGTATTTTTGAGACATCATGTGGTATTTTACCCTGACAGGTCTTCGATTAAAAATCTCCTCGTTGTATTCATAGTACAATTTAGCAGCTTTCATTAAGGCAGAAAATAGAGTAAATGTATCATGCTCAACAAAATCTTTGCTCAGGGTCTGTCGAATTATATCTTCTTCGTCAGAATCATCGGAATATGTCGGGCGTGACGGTAGACTTTCGTGGTCCACAACCCATAGTATTGGTGCTAAGAGTTCATGCATGCCTTGCCTGTACGAGACATCTTGATTCATCTTACAGTAGATGAAAAGGATATCTAGAAGGCGGTTCTGGATATGTTGCGAGCGAAAATATTCATTGTCTGGAAAGCTTTGAAAAAGAGATAACAGCGCATAAATTCAAAATAGCTTACAAATACAAGATGAATGGACGCTACCCTGCTAGTTGGAAAAAGCGCTAAATAAATATACCTACGTGCGCTCAACGTCCTGGCGAATTATTTTCTGCAATTCGGTGTCTTTATAATATTGCTGCCACGGATTCTGCATAAATAAACAATTGTAAGTCGTTTCTGTCAAATATAATACCCAGTAAAGACGCGTCTCAAGTCATCTATACTAGAAATTTTTCATACGGATTCATCCAAAGACAGAGGGTGATTCACACTCAAATCAATTGTGTTGTCTACATCTGACTCGGAAGTAGGACTTGTGATGTACTTCTGTCGCAAATCAGCATAATGTTGGCGTTCCTTGTGAAGTGTTAATGACCACGTTGAAGTGTCTACGCTCGGGAGGTAAGAAAGATATAACTAGAGACAAGATAAACAAGAATTATTAGCTATATAGTCAAATGTTTGAATCTGAGAAGCAAGCAATCATAAGCAACGAGTGAATACACGAGATCCTTTAAAAAAGAAAACCGATCTTTCAATGAACAATAGTGAAGTAAATTCAGTTACATTTTCGTACCAGAAACAAAACTTTACACGATTGGGTTATTAAAATGACATTTTACAATTTTTGGGATTTCCTCTCCAAACTGAACGAATGGAATGTATTAACAACTAGTAAAGGTCACATCGTAGATTTCAAATGACAAGGGAAAGGGTCTCGCGATATAATTTGTCAAAGAACCAATTAACGAACCAACGGATCGCAATCATAACTCTGAAGACATAGAAATAGCTCTACCACATTGGCCATGGAATTTTACACACCTTCCAACAGACAGATCGAAGGCCATTTGAACAAAAGTTCCCCTTAACACCCTTTTCCCTAAGGGAAGTCAAAGTCAACAAAGGATCCCTAAAAATGTACTCCCATTTCACTCTATGAAGCAGAAGTTTGAATCAGTATATACTGTTTGTTGACATTATCTTCGGAAACTGTTTAATTCTCACTACATACTTTGCCTGTTCAAGTGTAAGTTTGCTCATTTTGTGTTTGCACATCAAGGGGTTTCCTCGTGTGTTTATTGTGTTTATGAAATGACGTCACAACTTATTCATTATTCCAACTCGAGCACCTTTATTCTATCAGGTCGTAAATCCCAAAATACGTGAATATAAATAAATTAGCATAATGTCATACTAAAATTACTAAGTACTAAATCTAAGACCAGAGTAGACTTGTTCAATTATATGTGTCCTGGACGAGTTAAGAGAAATGCGTGCAAGCAGACAGTCATTTTCTTCTCATAAATGTATTAACAAATTGACCGATTCAATTGCAACCATATTAGGTCAGTTTGTCCATTCAACAATACATATCTATCCGCATTCAGACACTTCGGGTTAGAGTATTTTAAACCCTACTCTTCATCCTCGGGTGGAAGCCCATCATCAACTAACAAAAAATAGGATAAAATAAACCTCACAGAACTTCCACTGTTATGCAAAGGACATAAAAAGTTATCCATTACCTCTCCTTCTGTAGATCGTGATTTCCTGCTGTTTGAAATAGCGACGATTTTCTTCATCAACCAACACCAAATTTAAATAATATCTGGTGGAAAATTTCTTGTTGACGTCACGGAAAGTTGGTGTTAACTCGAAGCCACCAAGAAAGAGGCGAATAGGAATTGTTTCGCCTACAGCATCAGAGTAATTATGAAAGTGTACGCGGACATATACTCGTGCACAACGATCTTCAACTTACCACGCACAGGTGCTCCGTCCATAATTTCGAACTTGGTTATAGTCTCACTTTCATTATACTGATTAGGGGCTGAAGACGGAAGCTATTAATTAATTGCAAACGTACTCGATCCAATGCACTCAAAGTACAGAAGATGTCGCACCTGCCCCTGTAGTCTCTCGCCGGATGATGGATAATTCCATATGTTTAATCTTTATACGCACTAACAGGAAATAAATCTTCCCGACGATCACATCCTTGAGATGGTATCTGTGTAATGAGATTGCCGCTGATACTTATACGAGATTGTTTGGAATGCTCTATATATAGTCAAAGATACTGACAGAGTGAATACCTTGATTTGTTATATTCAAACTCGATATGGAGGCAGTCTTCTATACCGACTTCCATTTTAATGGAGTTATTACTATCTGGTGGCATACGATATGAGTATACCCAGATATCTTTCTCTTTCACAATGTCTGTGAGACGCCTCGAGATTGTGATTCGGACGAAATATCTATCGAGTTATTTTAATCGTCGTTAACGCCGGAAGGGACCATTGTCCAGCTACATTAGAGACCTATTTACCTCAACTTAACGTTGATCCCATGGTAGCTTTCATACTGCTTCTCGACATTCTTGAATTCAAACTCGTACATTTTAGGCTGACGTATTTCGCCAGGAATGTCTAATTCCTGAACTAACGAAAGAAACTCATAATGATTTCCTCTATCATAAAATAGTTCTATGGGATTAAATACTGATGTTAATCGTATTATATTACTAATTTGCAGATAAAATCTTGACGAGCGCTTTTGAATAAAGATAAGTAAAACTCGTACCGATGTTTCCAACAAACTCTATCTTGATTCCTTGATGTTCAAGTTTCTTGCCATCACGCGGCCTTATCGTAACCTGCAAGACAAAGAGTATTACTCGATATATAGAGGAAACCATAATACAGCAACCATTTTCTGTAACCAATCTACCCTTCCGGTAACAGTTTCCCCATCCATGTATAGAGGAAACCTGTCACGTCGTTCTTTGTCCACCTTCACTTCAACAAGCTTCCTCTGTTCTTCGCCATTAAAACGTATATCGACGTCGACTGGTGCACTAAGCCCAAATAAAGCCTACACATTTAAAACATTATGAGGCCTCTTAGCCGACATACAGAAAAACGCGTTTGATTGTTCTTCAGGAATACATACAGCGACTGACATATTCACACGCTTAAGAAGACAGCAAAGTTTCGGAAACAATCTAAGGAATTATAACACAAACGTTGTCATATGACTAGCTGATGTTCTCGTCCAATACAACCAAGTCATCCGATCTTGTCTTCAAAAATTTAGTGACAATGTTTTCATCAAAGATTCATAGGCTACGGCATTGCCACTTCATACTTCGACACCGTTTAATAAGACATCCACGACCAGTTATTGGTCTCGATATCAGGAGACTCGCAACAGTGACAAAACCTTCGCGCAAGCTTGCGAATAGTTACGACCCAGTAAGTAGTCCGAAATGTTACCCGACGTCAATCATGATAATAAACCTAATTGATATTACGACCCATGTAATATTATTGAGACAACTGTGGAAGAAGGGTGGTATGAATGGTGGGAAAGCTGCGGTACGTTTATAGTATGTATTGTGTTCTCCATGAAAATATGTATTCGCACTCACGAAGACGAACGTGTTTAGGCCTTTTTGCCGCGGTAGGAGGCGAGCAGTGCGAAAACCCTCCTGATTTCGTTATGCTATCACCGCCACCCAATGTCACAGGATATTTGCACATAGGACATGCATTAACTTTCAGCATTCAGGTTTATAACTGAAAAGATTTAATTCATATTATATGTTTATACTTGCAAGTATGTTTTATTTATTTATTCATTTATTATAATAGGACGCTATTGTTCGATGGCGGCGAATGAGCGGTTGTCGTGTTTCATGGATACCGGGAACTGATCATGCTGGAATAGGCACGCAGTCAGTAGTAGAACGTAAATTATTGAAGGAAAAAAATGTGTGTTTGAATAAGTTTAATTTTTCGCGACAATCAGATATTACCTAACGTCTTTTCTTTATAGTTAACGCGACACGATTTTAGTAGAGAAGCATTCGTCGAGGAAATCTGGAAATGGCGTTCTCAACATGGGGATCGTATTATTAGACAATTGGTATATACCATAAAGCAATTTGATTTTCTCGTCACATTCTCGTAACATAATATAGATTGCTTTACGACCTAGAGACGATTAGGAGCTTCACTCGATTGGGATAAACTGTTCTTTACAATGGATGCACCACGTTCTCAAGCTGTTACCAATGCCTTTTTGAGACTTTATCAGGATGGCCTAATATATAGGGATACGCGCCTGGTTAACTGGTGTTGCGCGCTGGAAACAGTGATTTCTGATATAGAAGTAAGTAAAGTATTCATGCTCTTATGAATCTGTAATTGTTAATTTATTCAAAGTATTATTGCAAAGGTAGATTATGAGACGGTCAGCCAGCAGACCACGTTGAAGTTACCAGGACGTGATAATGGGTACAGAACATTCGTGTTCAATTGACGAATTTTTACTTCACTTGATATGTGAGATATACATGGTTTTTTATATTTTTCTTATTTTTTCTGTATTTCGAAAAGGGTTGAATTTGGCGTTTTGCATAAAGTTGCATATCCCGTTGCGGATGAATCTACTGAATTGAAAGAGGTTGTAGTTGCAACCACACGAATAGAAACAATACTGGGAGATGTCGCCGTGGCCGTCCATCCGGAGGATCCACGTTACAAGGTCTGTTATAATAGAAGGTTATTTATATTTTTAATCAATTCCATGTTTCGCTATTAAGATAATCATGTTTTTTAGGCTTTACACGGAAAGGAAGTTATACACCCCTTGCTCAATAAACGCATGCCAATTGTCTGTGATGCAGAACTTGTTGACTTGGATTTTGGAACCGGTGTTGTGAAGGTAGGTTATTATGATCCTATAAATATCTTAGGCCTTCTGTGTATACTAACAACATTTCTTAGCTTACGCCTGCCCACGATCCCAATGATTATAATTGTGCGCGTAGACACAATCTTCCGTTAATTAATATATTCAACAAAAATGGTACATTCAATGAGAACTGTGGAATTGCAGGCTTAGTTGTAAGTACGGACACTTTCTTGTGGGATTACGCCTTCTCGAGTTATTGTACTAACTTGATTTGTACTAGAATAAAGATCGGTTTGATAGTAGGCAGGAAATTATTGATAGACTCGGTACTGTTAACTGTTATCGAGGCAAAGATGTATCACATGAGATGAGAATTGGTCGTTGTTCGCGCACTGGAGATATCATTGAACCTCTCTTGCAACCACAATGGTACTACTTGTTATAATTGTGGTTAATTTTTAATCCCTAATTGACATACTCGTGATCTATATGTAGGTATGTCAGATGTAAGGATCTCGCAAACAGAGCCTTGCAGGCTGCGGCTAGTGGTGAGCTCATTTTTGAGCCCGCATATCATATAAAGGAATGGAATCACTGGCTCGGTATGTCTGCACTCCTTCGACGCGTTTCGATCTGTATTGAATTTCGATCGCAGTCTTAATTTTACTTTCGTTAATTAGAAAATATTCAAGACTGGTGCATTTCCAGGCAATTGTGGTGGGGACATTCCATTCCTGCGTTTCAGTTGTCATTTCCCGAAAGCGATCATGATGGTAAATACTAATATTACGGGGATCCTTCATGTCGACAATATAACTATTATCATGACTGAAACAGACATTTATCTAGCTAAGAGTACATGGATCGTCGCCAAGTCCAATGATGAAGCAGAAGGTCTCGCGAAAACATATCTTCGGTCGAATTTTATGGATATTAGTACGCCTTACATTCTGAAGCAGGTTCAAACACTTGGTTTCAATTTATACGAACATAAGATCAGTTATTTATCTTTGCACTTTCTAGGATGAAGACGTATTGGATACTTGGTTTTCGTCTGGATTGTTACCACTGTCAGCCTTAAATTGGACTGGGAACGATGAATTGCCCGTAAGTGTAAACTGACCAACGACTCGACGTCTTATCTATAGAATTGATGCGATTTTCTTATAGGCAAAATATCCGACCTCAATGATAGAATCAGGCTTTGATATATTATTCTTTTGGATAGCACGAATGACAATGCTTTGTACATATTTTGCTGGGAAGCCACCTTTTAAGAACGTACTTTTACATGCTATGGTATGGATTGCTCAAGTGTTTTCTATCCAATCAGCAAGGACAATCTTCTTCTTTTCTAATTGAAGGACCTTTTCTGTTCAAGGTACGCGATGTGCAAGGTCGAAAGATGTCCAAATCTTTGGGAAATGTCATTGATCCGCTTGATGTTATAGATGGTATCACTCTTGGAAAAATGAAACAAGTGTTAAATGAAAGCAATTTGCCTCATTCCGAAATCAACAGAAGTGAAACTATGTTGTCTAAAGAGTATCCACAAGGAATTCCAGCCTGCGGAACAGATGCTTTACGATTTTCATTAGTGAATTTCACAGAACATGTAGGTTATCCTTTGTCATATATCTTTTAAGCGGCCCTTATTTCGTGAAACTGTTATAAATTGCTCTTACTATCTACTTTAAACGATAAACATTATCGTAAAAGGAAACGTTAAACTAAAGATATTTCCTTCCGTAGACGCGGCAAATAAACCTTGACATTTCGCCAATATTAGCTGCCAAGCATTTCGGAAACAAAATTTGGAATCTGTTCAATTTTGCGTTCACAAGATTTGAAATTCTGAACTATAAGACAAACGTCACGACTTCAAGGACTCTGGCGGTAGATGAGTTAGAAGACAGGCTTTCTCTCGTGGATCGCTATGTTTTGTCAAGATTAGCGGATACCGTGAGTAGAGCGCAGGATGCATTTACAGCCCTTCGATTACATGAAGCGACCACTGCAATAAGAAATTTTATTTGGGAAGACTTGTGTGATATATATCTTGAGTTTGCGAAGCCAGTATTATATGGTACTCATACGCAGGTTGAAAAGGAGGTAAACAGATGACGAAGGTAGACACAATAAATCGTCGTCTAGATTTCAAGGTTAACGGGTCGTTGTCGTTAAATAGGCCCAATATGCGACTTTACGAGTATTGGACGTATGCCTGGATGTCTCGCTTAGGCTGTTGCATCCATTTATGCCATTTATCACAGAGGTAGTAAAAAGACTGATTACATGCTCTTTAGATAACTTACACTAACTTTTAATTTTGTAAAGGAATTATGGCAGAATTTGGCAAAGATGACGACGAATGAATTGGTACCCAAGTCGTTAATGCTTGCAAGTTATCCTGAAACTCAAAACTTTGTCAACTGGAAGAACGTCAAGATTGAGAATGATATGAAAGTAAGTTCTATAATCATTCTCGATTGTAAACGTTGTCAAAAATTTAAAGCTAAACCTTATTTTAACAGAGCATCTTGAGCGTCATACATGCATGCCGCTCGTTGCGACAAAATAATCATATTCCTATCAGTCAGCATTTACCCTTTATATTGAGCACAGACGATGCAAATGTCCTAAGCGATGATGGCCCAATAAAGAAATACTTTAACGATATACGCATCTTTGCAAAAGCTTCTCAGCTTAAGTTAATTGATTCAAAGGTGATCAAAGGCTGTCCATGGTTTATATATTTCATATCTAATGCCATTCCAATTTGAATTTACTGCGCTGTCCACGTTTCAGGATGAAATGAATGCAACGGAGTTGGATAAAACTGTGGTTGTCACCTTAACGAATCCGAATGTTAAAGTACACATCCCACTGTCCGAGCTTGTAAGAGCACAGTCTAATGGAAGGAATGCTACTGACGAGCAAGTCGACAAACTGAATAGAACGTTGAAAAAAATTGAGGGGAATCTAGATAATCTAAAGCAGAAGATGTCCAAGGCCGAGTATGAAGACAGGGTTCCGGACAAGATCAAAGAGCGGGATAGGTAGGCATGCACCTTCTGTGATTTTAAAAGATACAGGAACATTACTAACAGCATTTGGTACATAGAAAACTACTGGCCGAATTAGCGGGAAAGCAACGCGAACTGATTAGTAACATTGAACTCATCAAAAAGTCGTTGTGCGATACGACATAAGAGACATTTATAAATATGCTTTATGCAGTCCATATGAGATTTATAAATAAAATCATCTCTTGACTTTTTCACTTTGTTTAATATTCTACATTTTCAAAAGTCGACTTTCATGCCGGCTGCTTATTTAATCCTTCTCGACAATACGTTGCAGATGATCTTCAATTTCTGCAGTAGACAACGTCCGGAACTTTCGATCTTCTACTGTGACAATACCAATCTCAATCTCAGTTGCTTTGAAGTCAGCTGAGAGTATAGATGACAACGTCGTGATAGCCAACTACATACATCATCGAGATTATTAGACAGGACACTGTGCATCACATGCATGTATAATTCGTCCATTAACTAACCTCTATAGTTTCTTCGGTGCCTAATTGGGGATCCTTTTTCAGCTTCTTCTCTAAATGATTCAAGGCTTCTTGTTTTTTAGCACCTGCAGCGGTGGCTTTACATCCAACATAATAGCCAGCAGGGTCGCACTTGAATAGTTGCGGACCACGTTCGTCATCGTATCCGATTAAAATCATTGCTGAGTTTAAGATATTATTAGATCGATATATTAATCACAATCCTCACAGATATTAAGATTTACTTACAGACACCCAGTGGTCTCATTGCAGCGTGCTGCGTATATACTTGGTTAATATTTGCAACACGTTTAGCGAGCATGTCTGTGGGCATCTCGTAGCCATTCTTGTAACGAAATTCAGCCGCTTCACTGCGTGCTCGGGAGACTTGAGCACGCGCATCAGCTATAGAAGCAGGTATACTTTTCGGTCAGTAATACAAAATAGTATAGAAGTTATAAATGTGAGCTTACTAACCAATCATGCCTGTCATAACACACCCAACATATGGTGTCAGTCGAAAAATATGAGTCACCGTTGATGGATCAAGCAACTTGTCCTTAAGGGATAGCGAGAATGAGGATACAATAAAATATCATGCAGTGAAATTAAACGATTTCTCAATCAAATTACCGGAATCTTCTTCTGAGTTACGATTATAACGGAATCTTTTCCACGAACCCCAACGGATGTCATTCCAGAATTGGATATTGCTTTGAAGGCATACTCTGGTATCGGAGAAATGGTTGAATCATTGATTTGTTGCACATGGATATATATGCATATAAACTCAAAGACATTCTCCAAAAAGAATCTAATGACTATCGAATGAGAATTTTCTCCCACTGACTTGTAATTCACAAAGCACTTACCGACTTGATACAGTCGGCCCTCTGGAGAGAAAATGGTTATATGACGATCATATCCAGCACTTGACCCTGTAAAGAGAAAGCTTTTGCCGTCAAGATTTCAGCAATATGTTGTCATTTTTCATATAAAATTCGACTTTTAATACATAATTACCGCGACTCATTGTGCACGTAGAGAAAGATGTATAGATGTATACCGACCGTTACGATTGCCGTTACGTATTTTTATTATTCCATGTGTTACTTAAATGAATACGTCACAATATGATAATCACCTGATAGCGTGCATAATTTACGCCAAATTCGGAATTTTCAATAGTAAATACTACAAATACTATGCATTTAATTTCGTGTGTTCTTTATTAAGCACGCACAGCTAAGGTGGACCTCTAGAGCTGTTTTTTTCACATCGTAAGTATTACATGTTTGAGATTAATAGTGGGATGGGTGAGCTTATTATAATCTGATTTAAATAATATGCATTTAATGAAGCGACGAAAACGTAAGAAATAAAAAGGTTCTTGCGTGACCTTTATGCTTACTCTTAGTTTAATGTCAATGTTTGCCCATTGCTTGAAATAAAACATATAACTTTTGGACACAATTTACGAGAATAAGTAAGGTCTTCCTTAGCTCTAAATTTTCAATAATTTTTTTTCTTTTTCTTTCGTGTTGGTTCTGTTTATTCGACAATAGTCGAAAGTCACTTTACATCTAGCTAGAAAAACTCACTTATTCAATAATAATAAACACCGATTTGGTTATACCAGATAGAATTAATAAAGCAAAACACTCTTCCAACGTGGCTAGTTCAGCTTCTTATAGACTCTTATTGCAGGGGGGTAAGACACTTCCTTTTGCCCATAAAATGAAAATTTGCCCGGCCCAACACCAAAACGATATTCTCGCGTTAGTTGAATGTCATTTCAATCTACATCCAGCTAATACCAACTGGATCCAAAGGACTTTTTTTAACGTGAAAAAATTCCGTTATTGCACTTTGATAAGATTTGAATCGTCGATGTCTTTAATAAACTCTGAACTTCAGTTTCAGATAAAGATCTTGGTCAAACTAGAAGAAGGAGAAAGTCAAGGTTTTGCGCTATGATATAAATACTTATCGTGTGCATTTCATTGCTAAGCAGGAATTCATTATTACGCATATACAATTTATTGAAACATAATACGTACGTATTATACTAAGGCAACGACGCACCAGTGGTTTGATCGGAACGTGGCTGTTTCGTATTGTTGAATTAACAATATGCACTTGTATTCTCTGCTCTAAAACAAAAGTTTTTAGTACTAAACAAAAATTTCACGTCATCAGAGATCAAAAATAATGTACATACATTTCACCGACAAATATTTACCAACATTATTTCGAATTTATCCTTTTTTAGTAGTTAATTGTCGGTGAAATGATTGTCGATGAAATAATACGGACCCGTTGAATTGTTGTTGAAGCCGTTGCATTTCCCGTCGCAATTCTTGCAATAATAACGCGTCATGGATTTTTTTGTCAATTAACCGTGATTTACAGTTTTCGTCATTTTCAGATCTAAGCCCCAAGTTTCTTTTATCAAGCTCCGACTTCTCAATATCCAATTTTCGAAAATGTCAGCTCAGCTTATTTATATGATCGACTGTACTGAAATAGTAATAATATTCACCGAATATCACGTGAGACCAACTTATCGATATTGGAGAAGAATTTTGACCGAGTTAGGCCAAAACCGACTTATCGAGTGAGAATTGTTTATTTTGTGAGTTTGTAAACTTTTAACAGGAAATGGCCCCAAATACGAGTGCATGGAAAGTGAGATTTTTAAGAAGTGTAAGCAGCCACCTTAGTAAGAGTGAGCATCTAGTCTAAAAATATTGGATGCAACTATTAAGCATAATGCAAATACAACTGCTTTAAAAGTTTTAAATCTTCAAGAGATAGATGCAAGTGCTTAATTACCAAATAAATGTTTGGAGGTGTCAGATGTTAACTCTTTCTTTGTATTTAGTTCAATGATGACTTTCAACCTCAAAAAGAGTCCTCAGCAAAGTGGAAAAAATAATCTATTACTATTTCAAAAGAGGTTAGTATCTTGATAAAAGTCTATTTTAATTTACCAGGAATCTTGTAGTGGACATGTTTTAATAATTTATTATACAGAGGTTTGCAAAAAAAAAAAATTAGACAAATTAACTTGCTCATTTCTGCACAGCCAGTATTTCAAATGTCGCATGATCTATATCATTCAAAAGCTTAAAACAAGTAGTTTTATTTATGCATTATTATTGGGAAATTTGATCGCCATTATTTTCTAGCACTAGATCACACGGTCTCTTTATTGATTCTACCAAACTAATTAGGGAGAGTTTCTGGAATAGAACTCCATTTTTTCGTCATAAAATGTTCTAATAAATCTAGATTTTCGGGTATGCATTTTCTCACATGTCTTTTAACAATGGCCCAAAGATTTAATATTAATTAATATTAACAAGGTTTAAAGTCTGAACTATTAGCAAATTAGTATATAATTTCAGGAGCATATTTTTCAAGAAATGCTTGGC